TTTTGTTGTTCTTTGTTTTTTTTATTCAAGTGCATTTTTTTGTTAGAGACTGAGTCCACTTTGTTAAACATTCTTTAAAAATTAAAGTTTATTGATTTATTACACTTACATATAATGCTTTTATAATTATTAGTTGTAAAAATGGTCACCAGGCAATATTAACGCTTATCGCAATAATTTTTGAGACAATTAATCGCCCAGCAAAATTTGTTATCGTGACAGGCCTAGATAGTATCTCATAATAATGAGATAGCTAAGTCATAATAATGAGATACAAGTTTTATTTTTTTATCAGGGTGGCGGAAATGGGCTTCCATAACAACAGGTTCCTATCAAGGGGAAAAAATTCACTCAAAAGTCAATTTTGTGTGAAAATTTAGACCCTTATTTTCTACCAGATAACTTTCTCCATCTTCTAGTCAGGTCACAGAGGGAAGAGGTCCAGACATCACTGTGTGAGTGGGGGGTTGGGTTTGTAGAAATACGCAGGTTCTCACAACAAACTTAAACTCTAAGTTTTAATGCACATTTAAAACGTCCTGCACACACAATCAAAGCACAAAAACCAACACACAACATAAGAGTAAATGAAGAAAAGAAGAGGATAAAATATAAAATTTTGCAGAAACAAATGCGAGGAAAAACAAAACTGGCTGTCTGGGTAACACGTGTAGCTTTTCCTGAATAACATCATTAAGAAACCGTGATGTGCTTCAGTATGACAAACTCTCCAAGCAATTAAAACTCAAAGTAAGTTTTTTTTATAAATTTATAAAATAAAATAAAAGATAAAATAAAAAAAATTCATCAAAAACGAATGTACGTCGTGAGTTTGTAGCAGGTCATGGACTTCCGCTTTTCACTAACCCAGACCGAGAACCTGAATGATTTTCAGTAGACTTCTTGTTGACTATAAAAGACCATCCTTGATGTTACGAACACTGGGCTCCATCCAGAAGATAAAGGCGCTTTTCGAAGTCAGATTTGTGGGTTTCAAGTTAGAAATCTATTATTTGAAAATGGTATTCCTGATTCAGTCAGCTACCACGAGCACCAAACGTAGACAAAACCACAGAAAAGCCATTTACTATCATTCTTACTGTATTTGACTACACAAAAGGAAAGGATTCAAACATCTTACCGTCCTCAAATAGCGAGTACTCTCTTCTTCGCGTAATGCTAATTTCCCAACATAACCCTTACAGCTAAGTGCCCCGCCCCCTTGTGTTCGCTAGTGGAATTACACCCTCAAAGTTATTGACTAAATAAACTGTTTGTGGAAACAATGCAATTAAATACTTCCTCAAAATTTGCAGTGTACGTATGTAAAACTTCTTATATGTCTAAATTTAAATATATTATAGAATATAAATTATGTCATTACTGTATCTTTATTGGCAGTTATTTAACATGGTTTCAATGAATATATTTGTTTTGTACTTCAGGGTAATTGTTAGTTATTTTTAATGAATAATAATGAATACAATGTCCCAATAGGTATATGAATAATAATTTTATTGTACAAAATGTATCTTAGCAGGAGAGTTGACTAAGTTAATAGCTGGAAAATAAAACAAAGATTAACATGAAATAAAGTTGTAAAATAAACTTTTAATGAAAATATTTGAAAATGAGGCAATTACAAATGACAGGCTAATTTACAGTACAGCAAAAAATATTAAAATGATGCAGGCAAGATCACAGACTAAATTCTATTTGAAATAGAGTAATACTGAACGAAAAAGGACAAAAAAAATATTGCAGACAATTAGGTGCATATAAAAGAAAAACTGGCACCAGATTTTGTCACTTGACACAAAAACAAACAAATCTCAAGGAGCACAAAATAAAAATATCAACGTATGTTTACTAATCACTACAAATTAGATGTAAGCGTTGATGGAAAATGTTGCAAGAAAACATTTTATTTATAAATACAATAAAAAAAATCTACTCCATTTCTTAAACTCCTCTATGTATATTATGGAGCTTAAAAATAATTGAAAGTTTGAAGGACTTCATTTTGAGTACATGCATGTTAGAAGCATGCCTGGAAAAAAAAAACTTAATTTGATAGGCTTGAATATAAAACAAACAAAAAGATAAAGTGAAGCAGAATTTTAAGTTTTCTGTCTGGCGATGTTGAAAACCAGCTCAAAGCTCATGTAACTTATTCCAATAGATTATGTTTATATTACACTTTTCTCACCGTATTGACTGCTCAAATTTCATTCAATATATTATTTTTTTCCACCAAACACAGAAACAGCGTGAAGATGTGAGGCTCTACTTCTTGTCAAAAAAACACTAGACTAGGAAAGGCATGATAAACCCTTTTAATCACTTTAGTCACAGCCGTACAGTTCAGTGGTGCCGAGTTAAAAAACAAGATGGTTAGTTTACATGCAGGGGTCCTGCTTCTGGGTGAAGCAAGACCGACATCAGCTCGCAGAAACAACCCGATGACTGAATTATACAAGGACTCCACAACGGTAAAGCTGAATGTATAAACCAGATACAGAGCGTACATTAAAAGTTAAGCAGTCTTTTCTTTTGCTGTACATCATTACACAGTGATGTGATCCATCAGATGTACCAAGTTACCGGTCCATGAAGAGAAAGAGGCGCCCCAATGTGGCGATTCATCTCTGGGAGGGTACTGTTCTTATGGAAAGCAGGCGCAAAAAAAAAAAAAAAAAAAAAAAAAACTTTGAATTAGCAGAATTCCTGTTAGTTAAATCTGCTGGCAATATCGTATAATGTTTTTGGCACAAACTAAACTTGCTTGGTTTTGATTACCAATTCTGTGCATCTTTCCTTAACATCACATCAGTCAACAATAAGACCAGAAACAACTAAAAACGTCTGCTCACGAGTTGGGTTGCAAGGAATCCTTCCATTAGAAGCTAAGCTGCGAAATTTTGGGGGGAAAAAAAACCCAAAATACTGTATTTTGGCTGTGGAGCAAAATAAGGGCAGCAGACTTGGGATCATGAACATAGTGCAGAACACATAACACAATTACAAGGAAACACACACACATTACAAACTGAAAACTTTTCATGAAAGTGGAAATTAGGGGTCATTAAAAAAAACACAAAAAATAACTATTACTGGTCAAACTTGATATTTAAATTTTGGATATATGCTTGTAAATTCCTCGTATTTTCAATGAAAAATTCCTAGAATTTTGCAACCCTACTCACAAGTCAGACAAATGAAAAAAAATTGTTTGCAGAATTTTATAATATTACACTGAGATCAAAATGATTTTCATTACTTTAAAATATGTCAGTATTTTAATCATATTTTTTGTGTTATAGTAGTGCACATTGTGTACAATTGAGCTCTGGTTCCAAACATGTAATTCACTTGTTTTCTCAGTTTGCTTTAAATACCCATAACAGAGACAAGATGCAACAATTGTGGAATGCTGCAAAGAATTCTACAAAAAAAAAAAAAAAAGACAAATATCCATTTCCTCTCAGAATACTGGAGCATTAGCTTCCAGTTCAGATGCTGCTCTTTGGATACAAACAAAGCTGTTTCCAGTAGCAATTATTATTTTTTCTCTACATATTATCTCATCAGAACGCTCAACTTCATTATAATCAGGGAGAATTCATTTCAAAATAAAATGACTGCACAACAAACAGCTGGTTTCAGATCAACATCATAAAGAACTGAGAATCTGTTTGACAACTCTGTTGAACTCAAATTCATCACGGATTACATCTGTACAATTAACAAAAGCAAAACCAAAAAGAAAAATACAGAGTTAGATTAGAACAAATTCAGAAAGTTAACATGAGAAGCTTTTTTTCCCACCAATATATATAAAAAAAAGTACATTTCATTTGGGCTTTTGCACCCCAAAATTAATAGGGACATTACTACACACTATTTATTTACTTACACATTTCTACAAGCCTTTAACTATTTACCTGTCTTTGAATTAATCAGAGTCAGAATCATCCTTGGATTCTTCCCTCCCTTTCAGTCCCCAAAATTTGGCAATGTGCTCCAGTCGCATGGAGCCCCTGAAGATCCACTCCCGTCGATGGTTTTCCTGCGCGACAAAAACGTGGAAACAAAAGTAATCAACGTGATGGATATAAATCTGCAGACTTTTTTTTTCTTTTTTAGACCAATTAAATGTGAAGAATCTGATCTGGTGGATTTATTGTGGTCTGTAAACAAAGCCAAAATCACTGTTTCCAATATTTGCACAGTAAATATGCAACCTTGCCATTTTTTTGTCATAAATTTTGACATTATTCCACTTCAGCATACAGCAGATGAAACCAGACAACAGAAAAGAGCTACTCACCTGAAATACAACTTGTATCAAGCTGGAGTCGACCGCCTGCACCTCACACATCTGCTGGACTCCATTTAATTCTACATTAAAGGTTTGTCCGATCCTGTACTTGTTTAAACGGGGGTACGGCCAGTCGTCCTTAAGGTAGAGTCTCATAAAACACTTGTGAGGACCATCAGGAACATCGTCCAAAACATCCTCCACTGTTGGAGAAAGGGGGGAAAAAACAAATTGGCATTTGGTAATGTTCTGTTTTTGAGCATCTATAGACAAATTATTCCTTTCAAAATTTCACAATAAAACCCTTCAAGGAGAAAACATATAATATCCCCTTTTGCTGATTCACTTAAAACTACGTTTTGAAAATCAGTGGATGTAAATATTTCGGAAGGCGACATGTAAACAAATACATGAGTTCATTTTAACTCAACTGAAAACATGCAAACGTCACTGGTTCAAACCAGCTTACAAAATAAAATATATCTAAATAAACCAACATTGCCTAGTTTATGTTGTTTTGCTCCTTCTGTGGAGAGAAAAACAAACTTACGTGGTCTGCAGACCAGGTGAAATAACGGCAGTCCTACATAAACTGGAGTGTGATCATCCATGAATACCAAGAACCTGGAAAATTCAAACCAAATGTTTAGAAATGCATTTGAACTTAACAGAAATACTTTGTTAAAAAAATATGTTTGTCCGATGAAGAGGTGAAAAATTGAATCACCTGAACTGGTTTCTCCTGCTGGGCAGCTCGGACAAAACACCAGGCCGGAATCGGAACTTGTTATTTTGACACCGCACCACCACACGGCTGCCGATAACCAGCTGCTCCACCTTCGGTCTGGAGTCGAACGCGATGTGGTGTGCAGACACGAGACACGTTCCCTTATCCTCAAACCTAACTTTGTACTTCAACCGCCCGTCGTCTGCAAAGAACAAGAAGTCAGTGATTAAAACACCCCCCACCCCACCCACCACCATCATTTTTCTTTACAACATCCATCTTTCTGTGGTCGCTCTTTTTTTCTTTAATGACCAGAACCTGGGCAAAAAAATTATCTTTGACCTGCTAATGCAGTAACTAACAGTTGTAGGATAACAAAAACTAAAAGGTGGGAATATATAAACAACCAAATAAAAGCAGAGACAGCTAATGAATAGAACCCTCTTTTTATCATCAACCAAGCAGTGATTTTTCTCACCCTTTGTAATTATCTCCTCTATTTTCCCCCGCTGCCATCTCATTGGTCGTCTTCTGGCAATGACCATCATGTCCACTCTGATTTCTTCCTCAGGCAGGTTAGGCCGATTACTTGCAGTTTCACGAGAGCAATGAGGAAAAACTGTTTGACACAATCAGAGTTATTTGTTGCACAATGGAACCAAAAAAATAGACAATATACAAAAATGCATTAGTTTTAAATTGTTGCATTTTAATTGGGAGTTGTTGTTTTTTTGGCCTTACCATTGTTATTGTTACTGGTTGAAGGTCCTGCAGACATTCTTGTCATATCAATTTTGGAGGATTTGAAGTATTTGTCTTTATTGTTTAAGACAAAAAATTCGGAGTCGCTGGAATCCTCTTCGGATTCCCACGGCATGTCTGAGTCCGAGCTGCTGAGAGTTTCATCTTCACTGTAGAACTGCGGAGGGGTCGGTGGTCGCAGGGCGCTGATCTTATATTCAGGCAATCTGGTCAAAACTACCACAGCTTTTTTACATAAATTCAGGTCGGTGATTATGTCGATGTTTTGTAGACAGCAGCCGTTTTCCCACTTTGGCGCCTTGCTGGGAGTTCCGTGTGAGGAGGAAACGGAGCCGGACGGAGATTCAGACATATTTTCTGGAAGGGAAAAAGAAAAAGTATTGTTAAAATAACGACATGCATGAAACTGAAACACATCAAGAACAAATCAGTTTTATTTAACATCAAACAGCTCTAAGTCATTATTAGAGCTATTCAAACCTTGCCTGCGTTTCTTTTTTAAACAATGCTAATTTGCACCAACCATCATCATCTCTTTCTTCATCAGGGTCCGTCTTCCTCTTCATTTCCATCCTCCTAGAGGACATCTGCAGCTCCATCGTCCTCGTCTCCAAATCATCCATCACTGCAAAACACACAACTTTTAAAAAACAAGGCAATGGGATAAATACACTCACCGGCCACTTTATTAGGTACACCACGCTAGTAACGGTTTTGTGGTCATAAAGGGATGGACATGGTCAGCAACAATACTCAGGTAGGCTGTGGCGTTGCAACGATGCTCAATTGGTACCAAGGGGCCCAAAGAGTGCCAAGAAAAGATTCCCCACACCATGACACCACCACCACCAGCCTGAACCGTTGATACAAGGCAGGATGGATCCATGCTTTCATGTTGTTGACGCCAAATTCTGACCCTACCATCCGAATGTCGCAGCAGAAATCGAGACTCATCAGACCAGGCAACGTTTTTCCAATCTTCTCTTGTCCAATTTCGATGAGCTTGTGCAAATTGTAGCCTCAGTTTCCTGTTCTTAGCTGAAAGGAGTGGCACCCGGTGTGGTCTTCTGCTGCTGAAGCCCATCTGCCTCAAAGTTCGACGTACTGTGCGTTCAGAGATGCTCTTCTGCCTACCTTGGTTGTAACGGGTGGTTATTTGAGTCACTGTTGCCTTTCTATCAGCTCGAACCAGTCTGCCCATTCTCCTCTGACCTCTGGCATCAACAAGGCATTTCCGCCCACAGGACTGCCGCTCACTGGATGTTTTTTCTTTTTCGGACCATTCTCTGTAAACCCTAGAGATGGTTGTGCGTGAAAATCCCAGTAGATCAGCAGTTTCTGAAATACTCAGACCAGCCCTTCTGGCACCAACAACCATGCCACGTTCAAAGGCACTCAAATCACCTTTCTTCCCCATACTGATGCTCGGTTTGAACTGCAGGAGATTGTCTTGACCATGTCTACATGCCTAAATGCACTGAGTTGCCGCCAAGTGATTGGCTGATTAGAATTAAGTGTTAATGAGCAGTTGGACACGTGTACCTAATAAAGTGGCCGGTGAGTGTATAATGCATCTGTTCACAGGTCCTTATGTGCAACACATCCACTCACATATATTTGTTTGTTTGTCTACCTTGCTGGCAAATCTATAACATCTCAGTCTGCTTTCACACAAGGGTAAGCCCAAACATTTTCTAGATGTTCACCCGCATCAACACACCAGATTTGAATGAATGGGTGAGGCTTAATCAGACCTTAATGTGATTTTTAAGGAATCAGATGTGTTGGAGCAGGGAAACATGTAAAACATGCAGGATGGTGGCCCTCAGGGACCAGAATTGGACCCACCTGGTCTAATTACAAGAGTGAACTCAAGGCCCTCCAAAACTAAAAAAAAAACGTATGCTTTCACACAAAGTACATGATTTTGTTCATCTACAAATGAACACCAGCAAATAAATGCTGAAATGCAGATTTTACGCTTAACTCAAAACGGTTTTATTGAACAATAAAAACAAAATTGCTTATATCAACAGTACCAGTGTTAGCACACGACCCAAATATTCAAGCACACTAAGTTTGGAGCAGCCCCGTTTATAAAAACACAAATAATAGACAGTTAACACAAAGATCATCCCGGATATTTAAACAAATTTTGACTATTTAAATGTTAAATAACCATTTGTTGACGCGCGTGAAGCTTCGCTGCACGCTAGCTTTAGCAAAAACAAACCGAGGCGTTAGCATTTTCACCCTCCGAGCGTGTCCAAGACCACCGTACCCGAACCAAAAACCCCCTAAACTTACTTCGTTGTTCGGTTGCAGTTATCCGGCCTTGACAAAAATAAAACACCGGGGGAACGGTACAAAATGTTTTGTGTGTCGCCGAAAAATATTTCCGGGCTAATGCAGTCGCTGAAGCTAGCTAGCTAGGAGAAGCTAGCTCCGCTAGCCTAAACACGATTCCTGGGTACACAAAAAGGTTGAAGAGGTATAATATTTAACACTTTTATAGACTGTAACCCGCACAGAAACAACGAGCAGTACTTCTTTATGCTCTGTTGTTGTTTCTGATGATCTTCTTCCCGTTCCTGGGGTTTTTGAGGGCTGAAAAACCGACGATCCGGTGCTACACTGCCGCTAACTGGTAATGTGTGGAGACAAGATGAAGACAAAAAAAAGTCAGACTCTACAGTTCATCTCACTGTGAGTTTATTGTACTAGAGAAAAAAAAATATTCGTCTTTGAAAAGTGGGACAATGTGTTTTTATACAAAATAAGCAGACAAATAAGCTTATTTATAGGATAAAAGATGTTGCATTCTGTGACTAGGTGTAGAAGTAGGCAACACCTTTTGTTGGCAACATTTGTTGCAGATTGATAACTGGGTAAATTATGCTAACAGAGGCAACTTTATTGGAGTTTGCTTTCAAATTTCATGGAAAGAAATAAGCTTATACCATTAGGCTGGTGTACAATCTCTTTCATCCTAATAGAGGGGGTAAGGACCACAGAGCAAATATATAAT